AAGTGCCTTACTAGTAGTAGCAAGAAGCTAGTAGTAGCAAGGTTCGCAAAACTTTTTCTCCAAGCCACTTCCATGACAGACTGAACTTTGTCCGCGCCATTGTCCACCTGACGCTCGTGGGTTGGAGGCCATCGCTTTATGTTGGAGGACATCGCCATTATTAGGTTGGAGGCCATTGCTATTAGGTTCCTTAAAGTCTTTTTTCTTGATTTTTAAAGGTTACCTGACCGTTCTGTTCGTGGAACTTCGAGGAATTCTTCCGCTCGCCCCGCTTGACTGGTTGGAGGCATGGCGCTTTTGTTCTCGCTCGCAACAAACGACAAGAAAAGTCTTCACAAAAAGACTGAAACGTCTAAACGGGTCTAGAAAAAATAATCAATAAACAAAGAAACAAACAAATGACAAATATGTAAGTCAACATCTTTCTCCGTTTTTTTGCTTATTTAACATTCTGCGCACCTGGTCCACACTATGCTAAGCGTTTCTCTATGCTACTGAAGGATCGACTTATTCTTGTATCAAACGGTCCTCATGGTTTTATCACTTGTATGTTTTAGCGATGCCCTTTGCTCCTACTAGCGTCCTTGTTACTACTAGTAAGGCACTTGTTACTAGAAGGGATGCACTTGTTTCTAATAGCTTCTTGTTACTAGTACTATCACTTGTCCTAATGGTTTTAATCCGTTCTAATTTGACTTATCTATTTCACTTGCTTCGGTTTCGCAGCGCGCCCTGCCGCCCCGCCTCTTCCATTTGGACTTCAGCCACCGTGATCCAAGCGGCTGCGTGCACCAGTGATTCTTTCTTTCTTTCAGCATTTCTTCCCTTCTTCCCCGTATCTTGTTGTAGCTTCTTGTTACTACTAGCAAGGCACTTGTTACTAGAAGCGATGCACTGGTTACTAGTAGCAAACAAGTCTTGAATTCTGCAAAGCACAAAATCGACCGACTAAAACTGAGACCTGGAGACTCTCGGTGCCCAAGCACACCTAGAGCGAGCTGCAAACCTTCTTCCTAAGCTCAAATGCTTTTATCTTCGTTCAGTCTATTCAGTTTTTAAACGAATTATGGTTCCTCTTTTTCTTTAGATCTGTAGACCTTCATTTAAATGCTAGATACTCTTTCACTTCGCTTCCGATTCCCACTTCGAGTCTTAGAGCACCTTCAAGTGTGTCCGAGAAATAAAGGTCAGCCAGCTTGCATTGGCCTCCGACTTTCGAAGCGACGAACGTAGCAAAGGGCATCGCTACGAACGGAGCAAGGACACTATTCGGTTGGAGGCCATCGCTACGAACGGAGCAAAGCACCTTACTACTAGGAGCCAATAGCTATAACCAAAGCACACCGAGCTCTTTTTCCTGATCGCAACGGTTTCCTATCGAGCCTGCAAAAGCTTGTCGAAGAGCGCGACTTGGTGCTGGCGGCCCACCTGCAACGGAACAGAGGAGCATTCAAACGGAACATGCTTGAATCCCAACTAGTAGCGTCCTTGCTCCTAGTAGCGATGCCAGGAGCCCCGAGTAGCGTCCTTGCTCCTAGTAGCGATGCCAGGGGCCCCTAGTAGCGTCCTTGCTCCTAGTAGCGATGCCAGGAGCCCCAACTTCAATAAATTCCAGAATCCAAGCTAATAAGTCCTAGCCAGTAGGGTCATCCAATGTCACCACCAGCCGTGTGTAGCGCAAAGAACGACACCATGTCGAAAGGAAGACTACAATATCAAATCCAGAACGTGATGCTTTAACCTGGTAGCTTCTAGCTACGAATTGCTTCTTGTTACTAGTAGTATTGCCAGGAGCTACTAGTAGCGTCCTTGCTCCTAGTAGCGATGCCCTTGTTCCTAGCTTAAAATCAAGTCCAGGCCTCCATGGTGTGATCTTTGAGCAAGTCAATTCTTTTGGCCTCACAAAGCAAGAACCGGCAGTGCAACACATCTCAAACGTAGCTTTTTGGCCGCGAAGGGTGCTTCAGGAGTCGATAAACCGTTTTTTGGAACTGTGTGGATCTTGTGTCCTCGAACTGTGCCTTTAAACCATGGTGAGTGCACCGAGTATATTGGCTTTGACTGCATTGGCTTCGACTCTGCGACTTTGCTACCGAGTACCGAATAGATTGAAACAAGAAGCTACTAGGGGCTCCTGGCATCGCTACTAATAAAAGTTGAAAGGGATCCAACTCGGTCCTTTGAAAAGAAGACTCCTTTCCTCTCCTGGTTGCAAGCTCGTCTCATTGCTCGAGTAGTGACGCATCCGGCAGACATTTTGTGACACTTTCTGGGAGTTGTGGCTAAGAAGCTACTAGTAACAAAGGGCATTGCTACTAGTAGCTCCTGGCCATAGTGCTAGTAACAAGAAGCTACTAGTAACAAGCGAAACATTGCGCTGTGTCTATAAGGGGCCCAAATAGGCCACCAGGGACGCCAAAAACCAAATGGAAGGCGCCAAAAAAAATGTCAGAAAGGCTATTTTGTCAGGTGGTGACCAAACACGCACAGTGCTGTGCCTCACCAAGGCGCTTGCCTATGGGTATTTCCGTCGCACTCGTCTCGTCTTCCTACCTATGCCCCTATGGTATGTCTTCCTTGCGGCATGTAACAGTCTCGGACGCACGCAGCAAAGTAGAATAAACAAAACGAAGAAGCAACAAAAAACAAGAAAACAACATCAAAACTACAGGAAAAGCATGTGAAACACATCCGGAAAACAGAATCAGGGAGTGACTCCGTGCCTCCTGAGGCAATCTTTTCACGTCAGTGCCTTGATGCACAAAACTGGAGCTGAAGTGTTGACATTCCAAAGAGAGAAACCAAAAAAAGACGCTACTAGGGGCTCCTGGCCTTACTACTAGGAACAAGAAGCTAC